CCAAGCAGGTTGTTTTCTCTATTTGTTCCAAGTCAACTAACTGAATGGTGTAAGCCTTTCAGAGAGAGACAGAGGCCTGGGGCGGGAAGCAGTCTGTGGGGCCAGCCTGGGCCTGGGGGAGAATAGAATCAACATGTTGAATCCAGCTGTGACTTTTGCCCTTCTACTCCCACCTCCTCTTTGCCTGGTGTTCAGCAGGAGTGACAGTGATGTCACAGGTGTGGAGTGCCAGCCACGTGCTGGGTGCCAAGCAAAACAGCCAGGGCGAGTGTGTGTATCATCAGTGCCTGAGAAGGAAGGCCACCAAATGAAGTGAGTCTGGCGGAAAGACTTGACTGAGGAAGGGAGGCACCTTGCTGGATGGGGGCGGGAAGACTGGAATAAATCTCTGCTGCAGTGAGGACCAGAAAGAGAAGGCCCCAACTGGCACTGGGAAGGGACGCCCCTCACCTTCCCATACTCTGCTTCTCCCAAAGCTTGTCAATGCCCCAGACATGAGCCAGCCTAGGCCCCGCTACGTGGTAGACAGAGCTGCGTACTCTCTCACCCTCTTTGATGATGAGTTTGAGAAGAAGGACCGGACGTACCCAGTGGGAGAGAAACTTCGCAACACCTTCAGGTAATATGGCCCAGAGCCCAGACTCCTCTTTCCTCTGCTCCTCACCAAAATCCATCCTGCTCCAGTCAAGGCTCCAGCACCCTAAGGTGTTAGGGAAGCCCTGGGAGGGGAGGTTCTGAACTCTAAATTTAAGAGCCTGTAAACTTGTATGTCCTGAGATCCTTAGGGAAGATGGAAAGAAAAAACAAGAACCATCAACAATTTCAGAGGGTAGTAGGGTATTCCTGCCCCATACGTGGGGTTCTTTTGCAGTCTTAGTCACTCAAACCTCTCTTGGGTGTCCAAGGAAGCTACAGATAGATGTGCCACAACATTGAGTGGTTGGTGACATCAGTGCCTCTATTCCATGCCCCTGTGTATCAAAAAGCACCTGAGGCACTGTCTCCCCATGCCTCTTTCTCATCACATCTTGGATATTTGTTCTTTGTCTGGTCCAGAAAATTCCTAGAGGAGGCCCTAAACTCCCAGACTGTTCTGAAGGGGACCTATTAGAGTATGCGCTCACCAGCCTCCAGGTTCTTTCCACCCTAGGATCCCTGGACTGTGGCAGTGGCTTGTGTAACCTTGCCTCAAAGGAAGGGGCTGCACAAAGTGACCCATACCCACACTCCAGGAACCTGAGGTCATGAGATTCACCCTCTCCCTCCCCAGACTTCTGGCAGACCTCATGCTCTCTCACTCCCCTGGGGAAACAGCTGATTTAGTTACCTGGATTGAGGTCATTGGCAATGGCTAAAGTGGAGCTGCAGGTGGAACTGGTTCAGGCTGGGGGAATCACCCGCTTGAGTCTTTACTAAAAGCCTTAGCCCAACCCTGCTTTTCTTGGGAGGCTCCATCTCTGCCCAGCAACAGTCAAGACCTGTATGTCCAGTGTTTGGACACCATCTCTGCAGCTGTGCTCCTCAAACAGATGGGCTCAGTCAGTCTCTGTGTCCACTGAGCTTATATTTAAGTTGTTTCTGTGGAGGAATCAGGGGTCTGATGTACTAATAGATAGGGATTATTAAACCATAAATGGAGGCAGAAAACTAACAGTATCCATGATGCTGGCACAAGAGCCTTGAACAGTGTCTAGTATACTGAAGGCACTCCAATAAACACTAGTTGAATCAATGAATGAATGAATGAATGAATGAATGTCTAGAAAGCTAATCTCACTTCCCAGCTCCTTCTGAGGCTTCTGTATAGGTGCCTGGCATCTCCTTCCAGCACTTCTTCCAAACTTCAGATCGCTTTGCCTGGCAGAGGTGCAAGAATACTTACTTGCATATGAGTTATACTCTTTCCCCAGTCAGTTTTCTTATCGTGACTCCAGTTTGCTGTGCTGGAAGCAAGGCTGCCAGAGCTCCTGCAGGGCTATTTTTCTCCTGGCACAAGGCTCTAGGTATCCATTTAAGCCATTCAGCATGTCCCAGATGCATGAAAGGTACCACAAGCCCCAGAAGAGTCTGTGCTGTCAGAAGCTGGTGGGATGCTGTTCTGCAAAGCATTTAATTAGGACAGAAAATCTGCCTAGTCTTTCCAGGATATAAAGCATTGTCTATGTTGGTTTCAGCCTTGGGTGACATCCAGAGGCCCCAGTGTTGGGGAAACTATTGTTAAGCAACAGCAAAGAATAGGATTGGTGAAGGGCAGGAAGGGAAGCCTAATCAACAAGGCCTGTGAGTCACCCAGATGGGCTCAGAGTATTTGAGTTCTCTCACTTGGAAGAAGAAAAGCAACCCTCACCCCTAGTCATCAATCCACTGGCCGTCGCCTTTGGGGTTTGTAGGCCCTTGTTCCTGCCACTCATGAATTTCCATGAAAGGATCTCCAGGTGCTCCGCAAACAGGGAAGGGATCAACTCTCCCCACCCTGTTAGCCAAGGAACAGCTATCCCATCTTCCTTTCTACTCTGATGCTTTGCCAGGGACAAACAACAGTGCTGCAGTCACCACATGTAGAAGGCAGTGAGTCAGCAGAGTACACCTTATAGGGACAACAGAGCTTGCCTGTTGGAGAAGCTCAAGAAGAAAAGGCAGTGGCAGCCGCTGCTTGGATTTTCAGTACTAGTTCTTTTATTCATTCTGCCATGCATGCATGCCTCATCTGGAGGTACAAAGATGAATGAAAGACATAGATGTCTCACCACGGTGAGCCAGTCAAACAGTCTAAACAGTCAAAGGCAAGTAATTATGTCACAGGATGCACTCAGAGCTGCAGGAGTACAGGGAAGGTCCCCAGGCCTACACTCCCAAGGCCACCTGAGCCAGGACAGACTTGACACCTCAGAAGGTTGAGCTACCATAACATCTTTACCTTGAAGCCTAGCCTTGTAGATTCCCAGATGGACAGCCAACAGTGATGCCCAGCATGTGTTGTCATACTCTCCAGAAAAAAGTGCTGATTTTCTCCTCAATGTCCCTGCATTGCAGGCTCTGCACCCACTAGCCTACTGAGTGCACTGTTCAGAAGTGAGGCAGTGAAGTAAGCAGGATGTTAGCATCTCTCTATGACCTGCCCTGTTCTCCTGCAGGTGCTCTTCTGCCAAGGTCAAAGCCATAGTATTGGGGCTGCTGCCTGTGCTCTCCTGGCTCCCCAAGTACAAGATCAAAGACTACATCATTCCTGACTTGCTGGGTGGACTCAGTGGAGGATGCATCCAAGTGCCACAAGGTGAGGGGTACCAAAAGGTGCCTTCAGAAAGGCCAAACTTGCCACTCCCTCCTCTTTTCCCCATCTCCACCCCACCCGTCTATGACCCCTATAATCCAGCTACACCCCTGAACTAAGTCTTTACTTTCTTTGTCCCCTGTAGGCATGGCATTTGCTTTGCTGGCTAATCTTCCCCCAGTCAATGGCCTCTACTCTTCCTTCTTCCCCCTCCTGACCTACTTCTTCCTGGGGGGTATACACCAGATGGTGCCAGGTAAGACTGTCCTCCCCTTGTGGCAGGCATGACAACCTGGACCTCAAGGATAGAAGGGCATGGTGAGGGAAGTTCAGTTTCCACCTTCATTCTCCTGGAACTGATGTTCATCAGTCCTGAAGGGATGGTAACTGACAGTCCCAGATCCTCAAAGACCTTGGACAAATCATTACACCCATGTGAGCTCAGTCAGCATGACCTATTCCATTTCCCTCCCAGAAAGGAGAGCGAGACTTGACAGAACAAGCTATACCATATGCTACCCAGGATAAACAGATGTGAGAAATACCTATCCAATGTCCAGGCTGTTCTCAGCAGGTCATTGCAGGGACACTTGGACTTGCCAAGTGCCAAGTGAGTGCAGCAAAAGGTCCTGGGCACAGGGCTGGTTCCTCCTTCACTTTTGAGTTGATGTCCAATGAAATAAGTTTTTGAGACATTTATTTTTATTTTATGTGTATGAGTGTTTTGCCTACATATATGTAAGTGCACCCATGTCGGGCAATGCCCACAGAGGTCAAAAGAGGGCATTAGATCCTCTGGAACTGGAGTTACAGATGGTTGTTAGCCGCCATGTGTGCTGGGAATCGAATCTGGGTCCTCTGCAAGAGCAGCCAGTGCTCTTAATCACTGAGCCATCTCTCCAGCCCCCAGTGAAATAATTTTGACAAGGATGTACATGACTTGGGAAGGTATCTGTGGCAGCTAGACATGACTGCTGGTAATTGTGCTGGTAGAGGTGTAAGGATGTGGGGATCCATTCTTCTGGGGTTGGTACATATTCCTGGGCTGGGTCCCTTGGTCACTTCCATGGGTATGCTCCAAACTTCTGATTTTTGCTGGCTGAATGGGGCACCACAGGTACCTTTGCCGTTATCAGCATCCTGGTGGGTAACATCTGTCTGCAGCTGGCCCCAGAGTCAAAATTCCGGCTCTTCGACAATGCAACCAATGAGAGCTATGTGGACACAGCCGCCATGGAGGCAGAAAGGCTGCATGTGTCAGCAACACTTGCTTGCCTGACTGCCGTCATCCAGGTGAGAGGCAGAGCCCCTAGCCCTACCAGAGGCCCACCCCAGGAAGTAGCAGACCACCCTAGCCCTGCCTCAAACCCCCTAAAGTTATGTTAAAGCTGATTTAGAGTTCTTTCTCCTTCCTCTTCCCCATCCTAGGTCAAATAGGAACCTTAAAAATAGTTCAGAGTCTCTTCCCTATGTCTAGCAGTGGCCCTAGTAGAACTATCAAGAATAAAGTCTGCCCAGAGACTCATGACCTCTCTCAGATGTCCCTTGGAGAAATCCTACTCTCTGCCAGAAGCCCTCTAGCCCCTCCAACCTCTGCAGGCCAAAGCCACAGGTATACTACATAAGCTGAACTTCTAGCTAGGAACACAAAGGCTTCAGCTGGCATTGAAGAGAGAAGCAGTGTAGCAGAGTACAACGGCACCAGGCACCTCAGAGAGCACTTGTAATTCATTCATCACTCAGTGGTTTCTGATTGTTTTGCTCTGCCAAGAACTAGGCTAGGCCCTGAAGACACAAAGATAAGTAAGAAAGAGGCCCAGTTCACAAGGCTCCAAGCAGGACAAAGGAAGTAACCATGTCAACAGCTAATTTGTGTGCCACGATGAGATAAGCAGCACAGTAGAGAGATGAACAGTGGCTATAGGAACCCAGAAGAGAGTCAGGGAAATCCTCAAGAGGAGATGACATTTGACCTTAAACTGAAAAGGCCAGTAGAAGTTAACCAGTGACTGAATGAACAGGTGGGAAGGCTGGTCCAGACAGAGGGAACAGCATCCCAAAGCACTGAGGCCAGAAGTACAGTCAGACCAGGAAGGGGACAGCAAACAGTTTGATGTGGCTAGAGGGCAGAGAAAGGCAGAAAGGTAGGCAGGGCCCAACAGTGAACTTTGGAATCTATCTCCTTGGCAGCATCTTGGATCCTGTAGCTACAGAGCAATACTGGTTGGTACATTAGAACCAAAGCAGGGCCCTCTTGGGAGACTCTGCAGAGGCAAAAGTAGGAGGGACAGGGTGGTATCCATAGAGAGGGGGATGGGGGTGAGTAGAAGGAACATTTTGCCAGGAGTATTAATAGCTCTTAGTGATAAACTACATGTGGGAGGTAAGGCAGTGGCTCTCAAGTTTTAGGTTGGGTAACAGGTGGCACTGGAGGAGGACCAGGTTTATTTTAAGATAAGAAAACTGAAGCTGAAGTGGCAAAAGGACAAAGAGGCTATCCACTGAAAGAACTAAAGGTCTGGTGGCAGGCGCCCAGGGCACAGTGAGGGGCAGGACAAGGTTTTTTCAGGTTTTCCCTGAGTCCCTGCTGTCTCAGAGCTGCATAAGGCTCTGGGCCTGGCTATGTGTCAGGCAGGTGTTAGAGCAAGTGACCCATCATGGTCTCTACTGGCCCTTTCTTCCTTCCAGATGGGCCTGGGGTTCATGCAATTTGGCTTTGTTGCTATCTACCTCTCGGAGTCCTTCATCCGGGGCTTCATGACAGCTGCCGGCCTGCAGATCTTGATCTCAGTGCTCAAGTATATCTTCGGCCTGACCATCCCCTCCTACACAGGCCCAGGCTCCATTGTCTTTGTGAGTCCAGAACTCCCTGCAGGGGGGCATGGCTGGGGCAGTGTTCACTGCCTTAAAAGGCTGTGAGCCTGGGCCACTGGGAAGAGGGGATTCCAAGGGGTTCTCTCCTTGGGGAGGGGATCTAACACATAGCCTCAAGCACTCACTGAAGCTCCCTGTGGTTAACCTCTGCAGAAAGGGAGATGTACCCTCCAACCATGCCCCATTCCAGTGACTCAACTCCTTTGCCTGGGAAGCCTATCCCCTTTTAGTTTAAACTCTCACAAGAAAAAGAAAGTATGCCTATGTGGGTGCCTCTTAAAGTCCCTAACATCCACATCAGGTGGTTCACAATCACCTGTAATTCTAGATCTTCTGGCCTACACAGGCACCTGCACACACATGGCAGAAATACACAGAGACACATAAACATAAATAAAAATAAGAAGGCATGCACTCTGGACAAGCCCTTTGGGCAAGGATAGTGGGAGAGGGCTGTGTTCCACCTTCGTATGTTGCCAATGAACTGTTGGCATCTCTTCCCTGGTCAGGCACCCAAGGGGAGGGCAGTGTGGGATAAAGGGTGGGAGCCTGTGATGCTCTCTCCTTTAGACCTTCATTGACATTTGCAAAAACCTCCCCCACACCAACATCGCTTCACTCATCTTCGCCCTGATCAGCGGTATCTTTCTGGTGCTGGTAAAGGAACTCAATGCTCGTTACATGCACAAGATCCGCTTCCCCATCCCTACGGAGATGATCGTGGTGAGAACCTTGTCTGGAGTTGGGGTTTGCGGGGCCAGGTTAGAGGGATTGTGAAAAGTGGAACCCCTGTCCAACCCTCGATTCCATCCCCTAGCAATGAGATAGGAAGTCAACATGTGAATTCATTCCATTCCCCTATATGTGGTTCCTCAGGCTGTCTCTCTCATCCACTCTACCCTAAAGAGGCAAAATAATGGGATTTAGGGCTCCCACAGAAAATACATGGGAAAGGCTCCTGCCCTAGCCCCAACTAAGTGCCAATCCCCATTCTCCACTTTGGGGTTTGCAGGTGATTGTGGCAACAGCTATCTCTGGGAGCTTCAAGATGCCCCAAAAATATCACATGCAGATCGTGGGAGAGATCCAACATGGGTAAGTCCAGGTTGCCAAGAGGCCAGCCCTACCCCATTCTCCACCAGAGCTGGGGCCCTGATGGAGATGAGAGGCTCTGGGTGAAAGTGCATTAGAAACTTGTATGACCCTGACCCAGAAGAGCCATGCTACCAGCCCATGCTGGCTGATTTATGAAAAGTGAGTCTAAACTGCTTGCCACCCAATCCCTGTAAGTTTCATGCAATGGATGCCATCAAACAACCTCTCTCTCTCTCTCTCTCTCTCTCTCTCTCTCTCTCTCTCTGAGCAGCCCCTTTGCTAGCTCTCAACCTACCTCTAAGGAAGACTCTCTTGGAAGGCACCAAGAGAAACCAAATCCCCTGGGTATCTATGCTGTGCCAGGTACCATGCTGGACTCAGGAAGACAGGGGCAAAGCTTGTCCCACAGAGTTGAAACAGCTGAAGGGAGACAAGGAGTCTACAGACTAGTGTGTGGAAAGAGTTCAGGATCTGGGCACAAACAAATAAAGACCTCCCACTTACCAGCTTAGTGACCTGGACAAGTTAGGTCTCTAAAGCCTAGCTTACTCCTTTGAAAAACAGGAGTGATAGAACCTGCCCTCTGATTGTAGTGATGAAGTGAGGAAAGTCATACAGAGACCCTGGCATACGGGGGAGGGGAGGACACTCCACCTTTTCCCCTCACACCCCTGTGCCTTGCCTCCTTTGGCTCCTCTGCAGGTTCCCTACTCCAGTGTCACCAGTGGTTTCACAGTGGAAGGATATGGTGGGAACAGCCTTCTCCCTGGCAATTGTGGGCTATGTCATCAATCTGGCTATGGGCCGAACCCTGGCCAGCAAGCACGGCTATGATGTGGATTCTAACCAGGTAACTTTGGCTGTCCTTAGCAGGGCTTGGAAGGATGGACCCACAGAAACCTACTAGTGACAGCCTAGGGGGCTGGAGATATGGCTCAGGGATAGAGCCCCTGCCTAGCATGCAAGAGGCCTGGGTTCCATTTCCAGGACCACAAAAAAGTGGGAGAGAAAGATGCCTTGGGCTCTTTAAGGTGAGGCAGGAGGGGGTAGGGGATGGGACCCAAGAGACTGATCTCTTTTTATTAAGCTTCCTTTTTTTTCCTTTTTGGCAGATGAGGGGTCTCACAGGAGAGCATATGTGTTCATGTGTATGCACATATGTATGAATGTGTGTGTGTGTGTGTGTGTGTGTGTGTGTGTGTGTGTGTAGGCTAGCAGTTAACATCTAATATCTTCCTAGGTCTCTTTTTTTGAGGCAGGATCTCTTACTGAACCTGGAGCTCACTGCTTGGCTACACTGCCTAACCAGTTAGCTCTAAGGAATCCTCCTGTCTCTGCCTCCCCAACACTGAGATTGCAGACCTGCACCACCATGCTCACTTTTTTTACATGGGTGGCTGGGGATCTGAATTCAGGTCCCTATGCTTGTACAGCAAGCACTTTACCTGATGAACCACCTCCCCAGCCCTGAGGCTGACTTTTGAGTGGTAGTATATGGCTGTACAACATCAGAGTCACTCTCAAGTCATGGGCTCAAAACCCTGCTTGCACAGCTGGTTGCATTTGAACACTGCTCCCCACCAAACCTCCCCTCTCCCTACAGGAGATGATTGCTCTGGGCTGCAGCAACTTCTTTGGCTCCTTCTTTAAAATCCATGTCATTTGCTGTGCTCTCTCTGTCACTTTGGCTGTGGATGGGGCTGGAGGAAAGTCCCAGGTGAGCCTTGTCCTGGGAGACTGGGGTAGGAGTGGAAACACAGTGATCATCCCAGAGAAGCCCAGATACCACAGCAGGCCACTCTTCCCCATCTAGCCTCCACTCCACCAAAGATCTGCAGGGAAATGAGTAGGGAGAAGACTTTCATACCCACCTGCTCCCAACTCTTCCTCTGACTAGGTGGCGAGCCTGTGTGTGTCTCTGGTGGTGATGATCACCATGTTGGTCCTGGGGTCCTATCTGTACCCTCTCCCCAAGGTAAGAGCCCAACTGAGAGCAGCAAACAATGACAGCCTCCAGCAAGAACAGTCCTAAGAGTAGGAATAGCACTCGAAAGATTGCAAAGTACTGTCATAGTCACACTTCGTGTCCATCAGCCTATGGAGTAGACAATAGTGATTTTATTCCCCCATTCTACAGGTGAGGGAAACAGGCTGAGAGTCTGACCTGTCTGGTGAGACAGCTCACTGTGCAAAATTGATCTCAGTCTCTGGCCTTCTGGGAGTCCTAGTCCTAGGCCAAAGAATGAACAAAGTATCTGGGAGTACAAGGCATCCACATAGCCCCTTAGAAAAATGTAGGCATGGGCCATTCAGGAACATAGGGAAAGGGGAGGACAAAGCCGGGCCCAGAATGAATCTCATGGCTCAAAAAACTGCAGTTTCCAATCCTGAGACTGAGGGGAGAGTTGAGGGTAGGGAGTATCTTTGCCAAAGAAGTATTCTAGAACTCCAACTTTGTCCTGCTGGGCTCCAGGGTCAGGTGTGTGTAGGAAAGGCAAGATGAAGGGGCTACCCCAAGGGACATGAAGCCATGCTCTGCTTCTCCAGGCTGTGCTGGGAGCCCTGATAGCTGTCAACCTCAAGAATTCCCTCAAGCAACTCAGTGACCCCTACTACCTGTGGAGGAAGAACAAGCTGGACTGTGTAAGTTTGGGGCAGTCTTCAGGCCCATCCATGCCCCTGCCCTCCTCTAACCCCAAGCCCTAGCCTGAGGGAGAGTATTCTTATCTGTTGCTCCTTAGTTAGCATAGCCCAGTGCTAAGACGCCAGGCTTTGGAGTGAGCCATTTTGTGTTCAATCCTAACTCCGTTGGTCCCTGACTCTGTAGCAAATAAGTTTCTTCACTTCTCTGAACTCAACTTCCCCATCTGTGAAAGTGGGCATTTTATAGACTTTCACCCTTGGGGTTGTGTACAAAGAAGACATGGGATCATACTAGTAAACTGCATGCAGTCTGAATTGCATTTATGATCAACAAGAAATCATTCTGGAGAAAAGTTTAGAATATGCTGGGCATGGTGGTGTATGCCTTTAATCCCAGCGCTTAGACAGAAGCAGGCAGGTCTCTGTGACTGTGAGTCCAGCTTGGTCCACATAGTGACTTCCAGGCAGGCTGGGACTAGGGAGACCCTGTCAAAAACAAACAAACAAACACAACAACTACAAAAGTTCAGAATATAAATCCAGAAGACCAGGATGCTGAGCAAGTTTCTAGGCTTCTCTGGGGTTCTATTTCCTCGTTTGTACATGGAGTAAAGTTGTATTCTGCATCACACACTGGTTCTGAGGATTAGATGAGATCACAGTGGGAAAGCACCATACTACCATAAACATCCTGCCCAAGTGTGACTTATTGCTGCAATTAGTCACATAGTGCAGCTGTGCCTTCACAGGCCATAGTGACAGAGGCTCTAGTGTACTGACAATGCTGCCTTATCTCCATTTAAGCCCACCATAGCCTAGAGACGAGACTTACTAATCTCTTTCAAGGATGACAAAATAGAAGCTCAGATGGTTAAATAAATTAATCATCAGAGGCTGTGAAGGAAGAAAATACCAAGGTCTGAATGGAAACTCCAAGCTGGGCTCCAGAACTCTAGGCTGTCTTGTCTCTGGGGAGCAGAGGCTTGCCCATGCCAGGCAAGGAAGAAAATCCTTAAAGTAAGGAAGTATATGGTCCCTCTGGGGTCTCCCATTGACAGTGGGGACAGGAAGAAACTAGTATCCTAACTCCCAGCCCAAGAGTCTGCTTTTACCACATGGCACCCCTCTCCCTGTTACAGCCGTAGTCCCTTATAACCATATGGTGCTGTGTTTCCACTTGATCTTCACAGCACTTCTCTACAGGTATCTCAACAGGCTGATTCCTTTAGAGCCAGTTGGGGACTTCTAAGGGATAAGGGACAAGCCATACAACCAGACTCCCAGCCCCAAGTTGTCTATTCAAGAGCTGAGTACCTTTCAAAGCAGGCACATCTCGTTGTTAGACAGGAAGGGAGTTCACATTTATTTAAGAGCACATTGCAAGGATAGGACCAATGCTTCTCTGACCCCTTAGTCCCCTCACAGAGTAGGCCTCGCTCTCCTATTGTGGACTAGTTATAGGTTACACAGCTGTACAGTATGGAGCCAAGCATTGAACCCCAGTGCCTCTGAAGGGCATGCTCTTCCCACTATTTCCTTCCATCTCCCTGTGCATGCTTCTATTTTCTATTAAAATAGAAGTCTAGATTTCTATTTTAAAGGTAGGCCTCAGACCAGGGCTGGAGTGTTAACAGTAGAGTACTCATCTAGCATGTGAGACCCTGCGTTCAATCACAAGAACGGCCAAAAAAAAAGCACAAGATCAAGAGCTATACTCAATGTAAGAGAAACAGACAGGTAAACAAAATCACAATCACAGGAATCTTGCAAAAATGAAGTCAAAGGGGAGAAGAAGTCTGAGCTAAGCTGACAGAGAAGGGTCTTGGCTAATCTCAGAAGACTTTCAGAAAGAGGCAGTTTTTCTCCCCAGGCCTGCTTTTGACATCTCTCTCCTCACAGTGTGTCTGGGTGGTGAGCTTCCTCTCCTCCTTCTTCCTGAGTCTGCCATATGGTGTAGCAGTGGGTGTCGCCTTCTCCATCCTGGTAGTGGTCTTCCAGACCCAGTTGTAAGTGACAACCTTCTCCCTCCCTAGAACAGCATGGGGTTGCTAGACCAACATGCCAGGGGGCTCCCAAGCCAAGGCCTAGCATAGTCCATCATACCTTCTACCTTCTGGGTCTGGCACAGGACATGCTGCCAGACCTCAGAAGAACATGACACAGCCAGGATTATGGACCCAGGCTGAACTATTTGCTGTATTCTAAAACCCTAGAACAAACCAGCGTGGTCTCAGGGGGCTTGGGGTGAGGGAAAATGGGTAAAGAAGGGGCACTTTCAGAAGTACCACCAGACCCACAGCCCAAATAGGACCTCACCAGGAAAGACCAGGGCAGAGGACAGGTTCTGTGCTCTTCCTAAATAAGAATTCAGTAGTAGAAGCCAAGGGCACCATAGAGGGGCAAGGCTGTGGGCAAGGAGGGTGCTGAGTGATGGAGAAACCTTGTCTTTTCATCTTATAAACTCAGAACCAGGAGTACTGACTTTGCAGCCACTTAAGTTCATCACCTTATGTACCCTCATCCCTTTTCCCCCCAAACCCCAGTGTAAGAGCTCCATCAAGATCCCTCCTGTCATCTTCCTGGTCATAGACTAGCCATAGGCCACCAAGCATGGGCCCTAAGGGCACAAAGACTAACACAAATAAACCCGCATGAGGACAGGATGCTGACAGTCTGGCTTTGCCTGGCCCCCACCCTAGCATCGCTCCAGGCTGTTAGCATCCTCTTACTTTCTTCCCCCTTCATCTAGTCGAAACGGCTCTGCTCTGGTCCAGGTCATGGACACTGACATCTATGTGAACCCTAAAACCTACAATAGGGTAGGTGATCCAAGCTTTGACTTCTCCCTTTCACTCTGTCCCCTCCACAAGCCCATTCTGTGACCTGAGCTCAGTCTCCCTGTCACAGGTCCAGGAAATTGAGGGGGTTAAGATTGTCACTTACTGCTCCCCTCTCTACTTTGCCAACTCAGAGATCTTCAGGCAAAAGGTCATTGCCAAGGTAAGGTGCCATCCTTGATGACCAGAAAGGCTGAAAAGAGTGGTCAGAAGATGGAAATGGACAGGGACTTGGCGACAAGGGCAGACTACCCTACAAAGGGTAGAGGTCAAGAGTGCTCTTGACTCTCTCTCCACAGACAGGTATGGACCCCCAGAAAGTATTGCTCGCCAAACAGAAATATCTCCGGAAGCAAGAGAAGAGGATGGCAATGCCTACACAGCAGAGGAAGTCCCTCTTCATGAAAACCAAGGTGAACTGAGGCCAGGACCATGCCCATTCTGATCTTGCCCCTGGCTCACAGCCTCCAGCACCTTGAGAGACAGAAAGTGTCTAAGAGCACAGCTGGGCACTCTTCTTGGGTGAGAGCTGCCAGCTCCCAGGGTAACCATGGCACCCTACTCTTGGCTAAGATAAGACATTGCCCATGGACCTATGAATGCCAGATGGGGAGCAGCAAGAAGTTCCTGGAAGCCCAGGCTGGGATGGGGATAGGAGTTTGGGGGAAGCTGACATACTTGAGCAAGTACACAGGAGCCCTGCTGTCTTAGGGAATCTTTGGGCCTCTAGAAGAATCCTCCCACTTTGGGGTAGAAGAGAAGAGCTTGTAAGCTTCCCACAGGAAGAGGCTTTAGGAGAGGCCTGTATTTACCACCAAGCTAAGATCTTAACCTTTGCCTCTGCCTTCCCTGCCCCAGCTTCAGGTTCTGTACCACAGTCCCTAACTGTCCCCCTCCTACCCTCAGACAGTCTCCCTGCAGGAACTCCAGCAAGACTTTGAAAGCGGCCCCTCTACCGACCCCAACAACAACCAAGCACCTGCCACTGACACCAGCATATCTTATATCACCTTCAGCCCAGATGACACCTCAGCAGCTGCCCCATGTGAGCTGCCAGCTTCTGCTCAGTCCCCCAGTGAACCTAGTGACACTCTAGCCAGTGTCCCACCTTTTGTCACCTTCCACACCCTCATCCTGGACATGAGTGGAGTCAGCTTTGTAGATTTAATGGGCATCAAAGCCCTAGCCAAGGTAAGGCCTCAGGGAAATGGTATGTACCAAAGTCTAGCTCACCTATGCTCCCTTCCTTCAGGGCCCTCGTTTGAACTAACTCAGGGAGTTCCAGGCCCTAGGGACTCCTTGCCCCAGATGTGACCAGGATGAATGTGCTCTGCAGGCCAGGTCCAGGACAATGAAGGTCTGGGGAGCACTCCCTGGGCTCCAAGCCACCCACCAGGGCTACCCTGAGTTCTTTCTCAAATCCCCAGAACCCACCTGGGGTCCTCTGACTAGAGGCCAGTTTGTTCCCTGGTTCATGACCTACTGCCCCTTCCCACACTCACAGCCAACCTAGGAGAGAATAAAGCATAGCACCAGTGTCCCTATGCTCAGGCCAAACAGGCAGCTGGGGGACAATGTGAATAGAAGGACTTATCATTTCTCAGTGGCCCTGTCAATGTCAGGGTTATCAGCAAGCCTCAGGGTGACTCTGATGGAGGCAAGCCTGGGAAACCGAGGAGCACAGATTATCTACAGGCTGATATCACCACCAGGCAGAGACAGTAAAGGCTACTCCCTGGCCTCAGCCTCAGCTGGCTTCTCTAGGCTGGACTTCGGTGAAAGCTTGCCTGGTAGAGCCTTGGTTCTAATCACAGAAAGCAGAGATCTCCCCTTAAAAGGGGCCATGGTGACTTTAAGTGTCTGCCACATTGGCAAAGCCCCATTTCCGCCACTTTCCAGAGACGTCTTGGGCCAACACTCCAGAGAGAAGTGGGGTGCTTTCTGCCACTCTTGCCCAAGGCTGCCAGGGCCCTCAAGACTGCTTATTTGTTTGGCTTCCCCCTCTGAAGTGCATTTTGTGAGTCACTTTCGAGACCCACTCAGAACATTCCTTTCCTTTTATCTCCCTTTTACCCCCCCCCCACCCCAACCTTCTAGCTAAGCTCCACCTATGGGAAGATTGGAGTCCAGATCTTCCTGGTAAACATCCATGGTAAGAAACTGGGGAGGGGGGCATTTAGTGGACTGGAAGGCTAGAGAAGTGTTATGGTGGGAACAGGCTGGTGGGTCATGAAATGAAAGCACCCTAATATTCCCCCCAAACTTCTATCTGCTGTTGACAGATTCAAATATTAAGTCAGCCAAATCATTGTATCTGTCTGGGGATCCATTTCCAGCCCTGTAAATTAGAAGTTTGGCTAGATTAACTTGGGATCCTTTCCAAATCCATGAATCTATACAAGTGCAGAGTAGTCACATACCCTGTCTTCCCAGGGACGTATGCACACAGTTTCCAAAGGGTGGGCTACACAGCTCCAAGGACATGCTGCATGGCACAGACATTCACCCCATTAACACATGTGCCAAGCTCAGAGAGTGCACATAGTCCCAGGAGAAAATAAGAGCAGGAGGGGGCATGCACATCCAGCTTCCTAGAGAGTCAGACCCCACCCAGCAGAGCGCTGCAGCCCCCACACTGGGAGGGAACCTAAAGTGGCAGTCAGTGTGTTCAGTGGGGATGCGTATTCATTCCTCTTACCCTTACTGAACACTCCCAAAAACAAGCTCCAAAATTGGAAAGAGTGAGGGTTTCACCTCCTTTTGGAAGTTTCAGGACCGATCTAGGCAAATAATAGGAAAAATGAGCCTCAGGGGCTTAGATCAGCAGCAGTCTCCTCATTAGCTTTTCCTGACGAGCCCCAGCTTCCTAAATCCAACAGCTTCCTTCTACGGGGGTTGAGGGTCAGCATTTTCAAGCTCATGTTGCCCTCTGCTGTCCAGAACTGATATTGCAGTGTCAATACCATGGCCTCTGCTCCCTTCCTCCCCCTCAATCAACACACACACCCACACACACACACACACACACACACACACACACAGCTCCTTCCCCCCACTCCCCCAACACACACACAACTCCCCTCATCTCTTTCCCTCCCTCCAGCTCCAATTTACCACTGCTGTTTTCTTTTTCTCAAGATAACCTTGCCTCCTTCCAGCCCAGGTGTACAATGATATCAGCCACGGAGGTGTCTTTGAGGATGGGTGTGTACAGCGCAGCCATGTGTTCCCCAGTATCCATGATGCAGTTCTCTTTGCCCAGGCAAATACCAGGGAAGTGGCTCCAGCACACAGCTTCCAAGGGGTAAGGGCTCAAACCCTGAGGAATCCTGGGCTCCAGGGCTCTCAAACAGCAGACCAATGGGACTTTAAAAAGAACCAGGAGTGGGCCGGGCACAGCACACCTTTAATCCCAGCACTGGGGAGGCAGAGACAGGTGAATCTCTGTAAGATTGAGGCCAGCCTGGTCTACATGGTGAGTTTCAGGTCTGCTGTGGCTACAGGGAGACCCTGTCTCAAAAAGACAGACAGACAGGAAAGAAAGGAAAGAAAGGAAAGGAAAAGAAAGGAAAGGAAAGAAAGAAAGAAAGAAAGAAAGAAAGAAAGCCAGTAAAATGTGTGAGTTCATTGCCAGTTCTGCCAGCTCACTCTTTTGAATCTCAGAACCCCTGTCCATAGAATGGGCACCATCAACCATTACCTACTAACACAGAGCTTTTCCTTTGTTTTTGTTTAGTATTAAATGATAATTGTACATTTTATATAAAGATATGCTTTTATTGAATGCTGTTTTTGTATGGAGGCTCACCAGACACTGCCTTTACTCTTTGGTGGAGGGTAGGGAGGAGGTGCCTGTTTTCATTTAACAGGGCTTAGAGATCTCAGGCTGAGAGGAATGGAGAGGCTGAGTCTGGGTTTTGTCTCAGCCTCTTGACATTTAATTTACTAACCCAGTGAGTGGTACACAAGAGAGATACAAATAATTCTGTCTAGGACTCTAGAAAGCTGAAGAGTCAGCCCCAGTCATCTCTCACCCCACAGGCCATCTCCTAGCTCAGCCCTACCTTTGGCCTCCCAAGACTGTGTTTGTGTCCCCAGCCTCGGGGGGGGGGGCAGACACAGAAAGAGACAGAGACTGACAGACAGGAAGAGACAGAGACAGAGAAACAGAAAAAGGAAAAGAGAAGGAGGATTCTCTGGCACTAGAGCAATGATTTACTCTTTGACTTAGAAGACCGATGAAGATCTGGGCAGAGAGTTGGCTCAGCAGTTAAGAGCACTGACTGCTTTTGAACCCAGGTTCAGTTACCACCATATGATGCCTAACCAGGCTGGCCATAATTCCAGTTCCAGGGCATCTGATTCCCTCTTCTGGCTTCTTTGGGCATTGCACAACATGGGCGCACTTACATGCATGCAGGCAAACTACTCATACACATAAAACAAAAATTTTAAAAGAGCCAGGTGTGGTGGCACATGCCTTTAATCCCAGCACTCCGGAGGCAGAGGCAGGTGGATCTCTGTGAGTTCAAAGCCAGCCTGGTCTACTTAGTGAGTTCCAGGACAGCTGGGACTACAGAGAGACACTGTCTCAAAAAAGACCAAAAAAAATTTTTTTTAAAGAGACTGATGAAGGTGAAGTCAAATGCTGAAAGAGTGCCTAAGACACAGCACTCCTACCCCACCCTCCACATTAGAGAAGCTTTACCCACAGAGCAAATTAGAAGAATCTGGGGAAATCCTCATTAATTGTCCATACATAAATAATATCCAGTTGTTACCGCTTAAGTGCAATGTGTTGCTTCTATATTTACAAATAATTTATAATATATCTTCTAAACTTATTATAAATTATACACACTTGTATACATACTCCTTTCCAACAACATGGAGAGGGAGAAAGCCAGCAAATGGAGTTGACTATTTTACCTTTACAGAATTATAGAGGAAAGGAATTTCTCAAGTCTAGGCAACCAGTACCTCCCTGCCTATATATATTACAGGCACACAAGGACAGTCCCTATGGCACCTACCCATAGCTGTGCTGTTTCATTAGGCAGGTGGGAGAGGGAAGGACCAGAGAACAAGGGCTCCGGGAAACAGGGTCCTTTATGGTCTACCAGGCACCCTTCCTGCTACCACACACCTGCTGCTGTTCTGACACCTGAGCTCAGCCTGCACCCACTTCCCTCCCTTTAGGCTCCAGGGGATGCTGAGTTCACCTTGTATGATTCAGAAGAGGATGGCCCCAGCTACTGGGACTTAGAGCAGGTAAGCAGAGGGATAAGAAGTGAGAAAGGGGAAGGAAGAAGACTCCTTCCAATTGAAGGTGTTCACTGGCTGTCATCTCCAGTCCAGAGCAGTCACCTTGAAGGTGGCAAGATTTCATCTCTATCTTTCTTTAAATGAAATATCTTAACTCTTCTCTTGCACAGAAAGTGGGAGGGAGGAGAGACACAGGGGCATCTTAAGGAAAGAGTCACTGGACCAAGTCCTAGAGAACTGATACCTATGCTTAACTCGCCAATGCACCAACCCTGTGAATATGGGCAAGTCACATGACACCATTGGCTCCCTGTTGCTATTATCTGTAAAATAAGAGATATGTGGATAATATTTGTTCCCACAGGATTGGTGGGAGGAGCCATTTGTCCTTTCATTAATTCTTTAGATGTTTATGGAACACCTACTGTTCACTGACACAGTTGTCAGGTGGGCATAATAAAGCATTGAGCAAAGACCTCTGTCCTTTGGAAATGGTATTCTGGAAGAATCTCATGAAATTATTTAGGAGCACAAATGAATTATCACTCGACTGGATAGGCTGTTAGAACTAAAAGCTATGCAGCAGGAGGGGCCAGTATCCCCTCAGGGCCTGTAAAATTTATCACTATTCCAGCACTGAGAATGAAAAGAAACCAGGTATTAAATTTAGAGAAATGTTGCTTTGGATCTGTTAAAAATAACATCTCTCTTCCCGTTTGGGGGGTGGGGAGGTTGCATTCCATGGCCCTCTGAATAGGTCTCTCAGAAGGCTAATGGCAGGTGAGAAACATCTGAAATTTAACAGACTAATTTCTGTACCCCCTTGGAATCTCTAGTACATTGAAGAAAAAAACTGGGTGGGACAGAAACAATTTACAACTTTTCTAATCTCAACCCATGAAGAAAATGGAGCTGAAATCCAGGGAGCAAAGTGTTAAAGATCACATAGTACTGGGGCGGTAGGGTGTGGGGTGGGGAGGACAAGTCACGATTAGATGCTAGTACTTTCATCTCTCTGTACCAGTTCATCTCTTAGGCTAACCTGCCTTTCCCTTGTTCATTTGAAACACAAACTCACTAACAGATGCTTCATTCTGGCCCGCAGTCTGTGGTCCCCTCTTGGTTGCAATCTGACTCTAATGCCTTCCTTTCCTCTTGCCCTTCCTTCCTGTGGTCCCTGCAGGACATGTTCGGAAGCATGTTTCATACAGAGACCCTGACTGTCCTGTGATGGCCTATTTGGCCCCCACGCTGCCTCCAGAGCACCTGGCACCTGGGACTTCCATGGAAGATAAGCCCAGGACTACAGGAAGTGTGAGAGAGAGACAGAGAGAAGAGTCTGCCCACTCTCTGTCTGCTTCTCTTCCTTTCCCCTGCCCTTCCCTCCCTGCCTGCCTCCCTGGAAGAGAGCCATCTCAGCCTTAGTAGCAGAAGGAGTCAGCTCCTTCAGGGATAGGAGTCTAGTGAACCCATCTCTTTACCCCTCCCTTCCCTCTCAGGCTTGGGCCAGCAGAAGCTCATACCACTCCATCTACCCATACCCTTCTCATGGCAGCTGAAGGACACCTTGACACCTTGACTTCTGGACTTTAGAGTGAGCCAAGAACACAAAGATAAGAACAACTGTACTGACCTGAGGTCTGTGACCTTCATGACCTGCATGACCAGCCTGGCCTGCATGAGTTGCATGACCTGGCCTCAGAGGGAATCAGGCTGTTATGGGACACAGGGATGAACCGGGTTAGAATGCTGACTCTTGGCCCTCCAATTGCCCAACAGCTTCAGAGACCTGGTACTCTCCACAACCCAGGAGTCTCTGTCTTGGGGACAATGTCTCTCTGTCCTCTTCCCAAGATTGTTGAGGCCTCCACTGATGTTCAGAACTTCAGAGTCTAGCCTGGACTGTGGCCAGGACTCTCAAGATCATTAGAGATACCTCCCCAAGGATAGCCCACCAAGGGACTGAATCCCAACCCAGAGGTTGCCCCCATCTGGGGAACAGGTAGCCAGCACAATCCTCTAACAACATATTGGCAGAGACCAGCCGTTCTGCACAAAATCTTTGAGAATTCCTCTTTTATTAGGCACTTGAAAGGGGGAGTAGGTTGCTAATGCTAACTCAGGGCAAACTGGTAGGACTTAAGCACCTGACAATCCACCTGACCTCAGAGCCCATCAGGGAAATGTCTTCCCTTAGGAAATCTTCCTTGTCTGTCTTCACTTGGCAAAAAGCCAGTCAGCTGAACCCCCTTATCAGCATGTAGCCCAGAGCCATGATGGAAGATCCTGGCAGGCAGAGGAAGAAGCCCTCATGGGCCAGCTTCATGTCCCAACTAGATACAGTATGAAGAAACACTGTTCCAAACTGGGTCTCCCTCCACAGGGAACCCATAACGACCTTGGGACCATTTTCCCCTAGGAAAGATGACAATAGGGGTTAAGTTCTCCATGTAAACAGGGAGATAACTAGAGGCATCCATCCCACTGCTCACTTGAAAATAAATAGGTTCGCAAACACAGGTTCTTTTTAAAGCTTCCATGCAAGTATACAGAAAACTTTCTGATCTTTCCTCACCGTCTCTCCCAAGTTCCTTCAATTTAGTGATACCTGCCACAACAGGTTGGGCTGGCCTAACCTGGGAAACCGTCCCAATTCCTAACCTCAGCCTGACTTTCATTATGTGTCCATGTGTTAAGTAAGCTGGTGAACTAGCAAGTCTTCATAGAGTTAAAGAACAGGGTGCTGACAAAGAGCCAACACATTCTTGGCCCCCAACCATTGCTTCTCTGTGAATTCATTATGCCATCCAGCTGCCAATGGAGCTCAAAACTTGGATGGCAGAAGACAATGTTATCTGGGATGCACTGTGCCCAGCACTTGAAGTGCCAAATTCCAGGAGGAAGAGAACCTTAGCCAATGACAGTTTACCCTCCCTACTCCACCTCCTCCAAAGTCCAGGAAGTGGGAGAAGGTCACAGAGCCCAAGACATTACAAGTCCCTATTTGAACCAAGTGTCTAGATCCCATGGGAACTTAATGACGTGACCATTAACCTGTGGGCCAGCCCCAGAACTGAACGGAATTGCTGACTCACAACAGCCTGGGGTTGGGGGTCAAGAGGGAATCTGCAACATGTTGAAGCTATGCATACTCACAGAGCCCAAGGTGGAGGTATGATTGGAAAACATGGGGCAAAAAAAGATGCTGAAGAATACTCCGCTGTTGGGATTTTTGGAAAGAACACAAATGTCACACAGACTTCTGAAAATGATTGAAGCAGGAAGGGAGGGTACAAAGGAACAAAATAATCCAAATTTTCAATACCTATGAGTGTTCTTACTGATACTGACTGGTGTATGATTCCCTGGGAAGGCTACAAACCTTACCTCTTAAGATATTCAAGTAATTTATTTAAATGTTGTTCTCCTTTTGTTTGTTTTGGTAATAAAGTGGTCTTGAAACGTGAACAAATGTACATGATGAAGTCATTTTAAAGAGCAGTAGGAAGTCCCTTCTGAACAACTGGCTTTTGCTTTATAATAAAGTAAGGAGAGGCCACAGGACATGAGGTTTCCTCCTGAGTCTCCTAACACACTTCCAGGATCTGTTTTCCTACTCCTTGGAATGAATAAACTTTCATGATCCAGCCAAAATACAGAGATTAGAGAGAGACCACTGTGTTAAGGTGCCTACTTACTCAGGACCAGTTCTGAGAACCAACTCTGTGCTTCTGTAATCATGAAGGAAATTGAGCCTGGTGTAGTGGTGCATACCTGTAATCCCAATACTTGGGAGATGGAGAATCAGACATTTAAGGTTGTCCGTGGCTATCTAACAACTTTGAGGCCAACCCAGGCTATATGAGATACTATCTCAAGATACTATCTCAAAGCACACACACAGAGGAGTCAAACTCCTATAATCTCTTCTGCAGACTCTCCCATCACCAATTCTTCCCCATTCATAAAATGTCTATTGCAGATCAATAACTATCATTACCCAGCAAAGCCTTCATGGAAGAACATGATTCAAACCTGCTTTTCCCACCCAGTTATGAGATATTGCACAGAGAATAAGGCTACAGGACTCGAGACAAGCTAGACTAGCTCCCAACTTTAATAACAGTGGAGGAAAGGAAGAAGATAAGAGAATCACAGAAAAACAAAATGGCACACAGGAGACAGAAACAGGATGAAGTGAAAGAGACAGAGGACCAGAGATGTGACAAAGCCAAGAGAAAAGACAGGTGACCAGCAGAATAGAGATATGTGTGGAAGAGATGGGGAGAACTAGAAATGGGTGAGGGAGGAGAACACACTGCAGAAGCAGGAAGGCAGTGAGTTCTAAATGGGCATTTAAGCTAAACTATTCTTGCTTTATCTTGCTGCTTAGTAGGACTGTAGGGATTAGCATCCTTCCCATTTGAGTTTTGCATTTTCTCTAGTGATGCTATCTTAGCCTAAATCTCCCTAGAAGCAGAATCAGAGACTAAAGCTGGTGTGCAGGCTATCTAGGAGTGATCCCAGGAAACAGGCAGCAGAGCCTACTGAGGAGCACTGTCTTCAAGGGAGCCCTGTGAGTTGTTTCTGCAGACTGTTCTGGAGAAGCATTTAGCCATCTTGCTTTAGTCAAGGGTGGCTCATGCAGATGAACTCTGCTATGTCTACAGGCAGGATGGGTATATTAGTTGCTTTTCTGTTGCCATGATAAAACATTGTCCAAAACCAACCTGTGGAAGAAAGAGTTTATTTCAGATTACAGGTCACAGTCCAACACTGAGGGAAGCCAGGGCAGGAACTCCGTCTCGAAAAGACCAAATTGAAAAAAAAAGAAAGAAAGAAAGAAAGAAAGAAAGAAAGAAAGAAAGAAAGAAAGAAAGAAAGAAAGAAAGAAAGAAAGAAAGAAAGAAAGAAAGAAAGAAAGAAAGAAAGAAAGAAAATAGTTTCCCAAGGTGCCCCATGGAAGGCCCTACACCAGGAAGGGGCTGTCAGGTAAGACCACTCAGGACTCTCACTCTACAGAGGGAGCCCACAGAGGCACTTAAACCAGGTACACTTTAACTTTTCAACTTTAAAACCTGTTTTTCCTAGGTTGTACAGCTCCACCATCTATGAGATGGCCATGTCACCATCCTAAACTGGAATAGAGTGCTTTGACTGTGGATCTCCTCTTCTGTTCATCCTCCATAGGCATGCTGCAAAAGGAGCCCCATTCTGCAAATCAGATCATAAGTGGTGATGATCAGACTTCATGACTATAAGAATGAATTGCATAACAGAAAGCAGATTCTTTCAAATTACATGATTTGCTTCCCACTTTCCAGGGCTGGAAGTAAACACTTTTCCTTTAACAAAAATTTTTTTTAATTTTTAATTTATGTGTATGCATGTATTGCCTGCATGTAGGTAAGTGCATCCATGTCATGCAGTGCCTGCAGAGGACAGAAGAGGCTGTTGGATCCGCTGGAACTGGAGTTATAGACAGTTGTTAGCTGCCATGTGGGTGCTGGGATTCGAACCTAGGTCTTCTGCAAGAACAACCAGTGTTCTTAACCTCTGAGCCATCTCTCTAGACCCTAACAAAAATTTTTAAAAGGAGGATTTTTTTTCTTGGCTTTCTATTTGGAAATAATTTAGAACTAAGAAAAAGTTGCAAAACTAAAAATAGTACAAGAAATGCACTACATTCTTTACTATGGTTCCTTTGTCCACACTTTACTCACTATGTTATTTAATTCTCTCTGGCTATACATAACTATTCTCTGAACTGCCCTAGGGAAGGCAGCTCAGGCTTGAATAGTCAAGTATTTCCTTGAGTATTTCCTTACAGATCCTCTCCCACATAAGTATGGTACAGTTATCCACTTAGTAAATTTGCATTGACTTTAACCTACTATCCAGCTTCTCACTTTGTCAGTTGATCTAACAGGGTCCTCTCTCTCTGGCTATACATAACTATTCTCTGAACTGCCCTAGGGAAGGCAGCTCAGGCTTGAATAGTCAAGTATTTCCTTGAGTATTTCCTTACAGATCCTCTCCCACATAAGTATGGTACAGTTATCCACTTAGTAAATTTGCATTGACTTTAACCTACTATCCAGCTTCTCACTTTGTCAGTTGATCTAACAGGGTCCTCTGTAACGTTCTCCCTCTAACACAGAATCCAATCTACTGTCCACTACTAAAGTAAATCATCAGGGTCTGGAGAGATAGCTCAGTAGTTAAGAAGAC